TGTGTGTGTGTGCGGCGTACCTGCGTGTGACCGCGTATGTATGTACATATATACTAACTGTGTGTGTTGTTGCTTTCTCAATTATGCAAATTTTAATAAAATATTTGCATACTTGCTTAGCTAAATATTAACTAAATACAATTTACGTATTTTTTTATCATTAAAAACCACAAATTAGTTTCGTTGATCTGTAAGTTTCAACACCATTCTTGTTTTCATTATCCGTTTGATTGGTGCCCCGTAAGGAGCTGCTTTTTTGCTATTTGTTTTGCGTGTCTTTTAGCCCAGCGGATTTGTTGTGTCAAATGACACTTTTGGCACAAAACCATTCTCACCCTCTACTGTGTAGGCAACGGTCATTAAACGCCCATCCGGTAGCCACACGGAGTATTGACCGGAAACCTATCGAAGTTTACTAGTGAATTTTTGGCTTGCCATTTAATTTGTTGAATGTAAACTTACTTTTCCTGCAGCATCGCCCGCCTCGTTTTTGTTAAAGAACAATTCCTTTTCTGGATCCTTGACCTCATATTGGTATTCATACTGAAAGTAGCATTGAAACGAGGAATTAGTAGTGCAGTTAATATGCAATTCGAATATTTTTCTTGATTACGTACAGAAAGTTTTTTTGTTTTTAATAAGAATTGCATGCAATAGTGGAATGAATAAAGGCTACTAGGAATTCTAAGGCTAAGATTGAGAGATTTGTTTTCACTATTCAACGGAGAAATGCAATGTCTGTAATATAATAAGAACAACTATCTTAACGGTTCTAATAGTTTTAGTACTTTACTTATTTTGGTATAATTTATTTTATCAGATAGTTTTTTTTTATCGTCTTCGAGCGATATTATGAGATGATTTTTTCTATTATCATACCTAGTTCCGTTATTTGCTATTAGGGAAAATCAAATCTAAGAATGAGAAGTAAATTGATCAAATAAATCTAAATACAAAACAAACGACTATTTGTGGTCGGGGCAATAAAAACCAATTGAATACTGAACATTTGCAAGGTAATCGTTAAAATAAGAATAGCATACAAATAATTTCGCAATAATTAACATCAAAAAACAATAAAAATATATTTTCTGGCCACGCTGACTCAGTTTCGATGCACTGAGGGAAAAATTTTCACCATAAAAAAAAA